GAAAGTCTGTATTTCCATTTTCTTTATTTTTTTGAATTACAGTCCAACCACCACCCGATGACGTCATGTCACAGAAGACCTCAAAGTATCCTTTACCATCAGGATCAATTTGATAAATTCCACTTTCGTTCTTGCCATTATTTTGTACCTCAGTGCAATCTTTGGCTACTTAAATTGAAAATGTTAAAAATTCAGTTTCTCAAGGTTCTGTTATGATAGGATAAACGACTGAATTTTGTGAAAAAGTGTTTTTAAGCGAATGAAATCATTACTAGGTATTATTATTATTTGTTAAAAATTGCTTGTTTCATATTTCACAGGCTGGAAACCTACAGAACACAAGCATTGCATATAAGATATGGATATTATTGACTACTGTGAATTACATTTGAAGTGGGTATGCTGTTTTGCAATACACTCAATTTCAGAATATAAAGTCAATTTCATTGTAATGTGTGCTTACATTTTTTATGTCTGAATAGAAAATTCCAGTCTAACTCTAATAGCGTTAAATTGAATAGTAAGAAAGTCATTTGAAATTTTATTAAACCCAGTAGAAATTTAATGCCATCTACTGAAAACGTTATTACCCATTATTTACATACATTTTTGACCTTATTTATTGTACCTCTTAAAAATATTGCTTATTTAGGTTTTTAAGGAAGTGATTCTTAATAGTAAAACCTAATTTTCTTACATCGAAAGTTAACAAGATATTTATGAATGAACATTATCAGTGCATACCATCCATACTAAGCGGCGGATGACTAATTGCGCAGCCTGTAAGCTTAGAAAAATTTGTGAGATTTTAAGTGATATAACTTTCTCCCAAAAATTTCAGTCTTTTGACGACGTTTCCGTTTCTTATGCTCCATTGCCTTTGCTTCAGTTTTGTTACTCATAGTGTAAACATTATAGAATAAATTTAAATTTTGAACGAGATAAACTCACTACTTTATGAGTTCTATACATAGAGCATTATAATAGTATATCGTACAGTTTCTAACAGGATATATTATTGAAGTTTAGATCATTTATCTCATCTAGAATGGCAAAGAGTAAAAACTATGTTTAAAGAGAACAGGACTTTTAAAAACGCGGGAATGTAAGCTTCAGTCTATATAGCCTACTGAGTAATCGGACAACGGCCATATTTGTCTGTTCTTGGAATAAGTTCATAAAGCTACAATCCATTGGTTGAAGACATTTGATGTAATATTATTGAGTGCACTCATTCTAGGAGGTCTGGAAGCAAGGCCGCGGAACAGGGGGCATTGGGGACAAGTGCCACCGCACTTTTCAAACAGGGAAAAATGTGCCTTTTCTGGAATGAAAGTGCCCTTTTCATGGTATAGAAATGCCCTTGTTTTAGGCAAAATTGGACAGAAGAAGTTTTTCTTAGATACAAGTAGCCCGAGAGTAGAACATAGTCTGTCGGCATCATGCGAAATCAGCTATAGCTTAGTTTTGATCTTGATTACCCAGATAGATCAAAAATCGCGTTTGTCGATTGGGGTTGTCTTCGCAGACGTCCGCCCAGTAACAATTAACCAATGAGAAGTCGCAATTTATGATCCACATGTGACTATAAATTCTACAGCAACGCATTGCTCCCGTCGTATTGTCTTTCAGGCCATTGGTCCTACAAAACTGTTGACAATTCATAACCATAATAATTGAAAATTTTGAGGTTTAAATCACTTCTAATCAAAATCATCATGCCTAGAGGTGACGAGAGGCTGGTAACCAAAACATCGACTTTAGATCTTATTTGACACTGCCGTGAGCTACAGAAACTCCATCAACGTGTTTCTCTCCTCATTCTCATTCCAAACCAAAATTCGGCGTATCTGACTCTACGTCGTCTTCAGAGATACTAGTCGCGCCACCGACCGAGCCAGTTCACGCACCTTGTCAAAACCTAACGTATGCGTCTTTGCCAAGTTCCACGACTACCGCCCTATTGGTAGGACCTATGCAGATTGAGTCAACGGAATGTTTGCTAGGACTCGATTGTAAGCGTTTGTGCTGTACTGGCCGACATCCTTACCATCCTACCCTAGAAGAAATAAAGCACACGTCTAGAAAGAACCAGTACAGGAGGATCGTCGAATGTACGAACTTGGCCGTCTTCTATATTTTTGAAATATAAATGGGTCACATACTGCATGACAAAAGGCACCATTGCCTGTTACTTCTGTAAAAGAGCGATGCGTCAAGACCTAATGGTGAAAAGGCTTTTCTTCTAGGAGAATTCATTTACTGGAGGAAGTGCGGAGAAAAACTTAAAAAACACTCTCAGTCTAAATTTCACGCAGAGGCGACTGAGAAAGTTTTATTATCTGATGATTCGAGAAGAGATGTTGGAGCGATAGTGGTCGGGGAATTGAAGAAAACCCAGGAAACTTGAAGAAGAATGTTGCTAAAACAACTAAGTAATTGGTGCGTGCTTGGCTTCACTACAGGAGCGCTTCGATCAAAAAACATATTCTGTATTGATGAACATCGAAACCGTGCTCATTAATGCAGCAAACGGGCGTAAGTTTGAGTTGAATGATGAAGTTGAACACCTTTACGAAAATGACCTCGACTTTGACCAGCTGAAGGCGGAGTTAAAGCTTCTTGAAGGAGTTATCTCGCAGCGACTTCCAGAAGTAAAGAAGGTGACATCAATTGACACCATAACATCAATATTCTCAACCGAAGAAAATAACTCATCGCAGATTGTCATGGCAATGTCTAATGTTGTTCGACACTTGCAGATTTACCTTCTTGCTCCAATGAGTGCAGACTCTTTAGAAAGATCTTTTTCATGCCAGTGGCTTGTCAAGACACATCTCAGGAGCACAATGACGGCAGCAGGCTACAATAATCTTATTGTTATGCATGTAAACAAGGCTAGAACTGACGAACTGGACTTACGTTTATTAGCTAAGAACTTTGTTCTGAAAAACGAACGTAGGGTTAGATTTTTTTGGGAAATTTTAATGAGATCGCATTACTTAATAAAACTGTTCATGTAGTCATCTTAGTTCAATTTGTTAGCACGCACGCCGAGCAGTAGAGAATACGCATAGCATTCTAAGAATGTCTACCAATATTTTGCAGACTTTGAAACTTAATCATGATTCATGAAGCAATGCATATCTGTAATATACTAAAACAGTAGGCTGCAAACTCACATGCCCTTTTCGGTCAGTGCCCCCCCCAACTTTTGAGATACTTCCGAGAGCCCCTGTCTTGAAGCATGTCTGTCAAAATGCTTTTTAAAGTTTGTATTTACAGAATTCTTAGTTAAGGAAACCCAACCAATAATAAACTCAAGTTCGTCTAATATGGTGTATCTAGGTTAGCTGGGCCATGGCTAGATTACTAACTTCAGGAGGAGTGTTAAACTTAACCTTAACCCTTACCCTAACCCTAACCCTACCCCCTCCTTAATGTAGAGAAACTAAAAATGTGTTAATGTTAACATATGCTATTGTCATTTAGAGAACCATACACTTTCAATGTTGTGTGCTGAGGGAAGTTTTAAGTGTATTGAAGCTTTTCATAAATTTATTACTGATTTCCTGCTTGACTGTATTGATAATAATGAACTTGTATGTGTGGCTGTGAGCCTTATTTTTGTGGTTACATGTAAAATGTAGATGCAGCAAATTCCTTGCACAGAAGCAACAGCATAGAGAACAGCTCAGGATTTTCAACAAAGAACAAAGTTTTAAAACTGCACAGAGATGCTCTTTATTCATGATCGGTGATAAAAAATCTTTATAAAGACAGTAATAAATCCATACGTTGGCACGAGTTACATTCTCCAAAGTATCCTTCCATACACGTGCAGTTCAATGTTCCATTAATTTTACGATAGTATGTGTTGGGTCCACACAGAAGAAAGTGAAAAGTGCTTGTCGCTATATCGATCAATAAAATTAAAAAAAAAATTAACCAGGGATTTTAAACGAAACATATTCTTCCTCAAAGGACGCAATTTGTCACTCAGTATCCACGTTGACGTACTCAGCAAGCAAGTTTGTTATGCAATGTTGGTAATTTTGGTGTTCGCGTATTTTGTAAAAAGAAAACAATTAAATAATTGTTGAAAATTTACAGAATATGAACAAATTTTCTGGCTGTTTGGGACACTATAAGGGATATACTAAAGAACTTAGATAATTGAAAAATATTCAGAAAATTATCAATTCATCAGTAGTTCTCACAAAATGTGTCAAAGCTCATATATTTTGGCATGGCTTTGCCTTGTTTATTTAAAGTAAAATGAATGAAAAAACTAATCTCAAAAACCATGTGAGTACTTCGTAATCGCCTCAATTTGAACAGCATGCACAAAGAAAATGAAAAGTTTCAAATCTAGTTTAATCCAAAGATGTAAAAGTTTAAACTCTGTTTGCAATATACTGAATTTTAAGAAATTTGATAAACATTAAGCTCACTGCAGAACATACTCAATTTGGACGTTTTTCAATCTATTTTCATGATTTTTCTATTTAAGACTGATTTCAAGCCCAAGTAATTGTTTAAATGATGTAAGAAACAATAAAGACTTAAATTTAACACCCAAGAAGTTTGATAAGAATAGACAAACGGCAAAAATGTCCAAATTAGACACTTTGCACTTTGAACTTAATGTTCATCAAATTTTTTATAATTTTGGAAGGAAGAACAACCGTTTACTAAGGCAATGTAACTTTGAACTTTTTAACGTCTTTCTATTTTATGAACATTAGCGTGGGAGTTTTTGCAAGTCTTAGATTATTATGTCAAATAAGTAAATATTTAACTACCGTTTGAGTCAGGAGTGATACTGTGTATTGCTACAGCCAAATTAAGATAAGCGTTGTTTACAGGAAGAAAATATTTACGTCTCCTACGTTGATCTGTTGTGTTATGGACACTAACGACACTTCGTCCAACACTAGTCATGATATAAATGAAATCCCCAAATACTGCCATGGGACCTCGTGAAGTTCCAAAATCAATTACATTTTGGGAGTAGTAAACATAAGAAAAAATATTTCCGTTTGAAACTCGCCAATAAATCTTCTTTTTAGCCAAGTGAAGCGTTAGATCATATGCTATTGACTGAAGTGAAACTGAAAGAATATGATGTTTATTTGCAGTCATGTTCCATAACCATAAGAAAAGTTCTGTACTTTCTGCCAAGAATAGATACCTTAATAAATATTTTTGTTTTGTACATTAGTTTTCTCTATACGTACTGAAATACATAAACAATTGGCAAGCTAATAGATGCAAGAAAGAAAAAATAGAATATCCTTTTAGTTTAGACAAAGATGTTGTCAAAGTATTCGGAACTACTTTCATATACAGACGGTTTAATGCAACATATTCATAAAATTTGATAATATAGCAACATAAAGCTATTGTAACTAACAGGAAAAGATCACCTTTACCATTTGAAATCTCTCTTTTAAAAACCAAACTAAAATATATGAAGTAATTAAACATTGCATGAGGTTCAGAACATAATAATAAATGTAATATGCTATTTTTATTCACATAACTTCTATAATGATTGGTATTGTTTGCGATTATTGTCGGAATGAGTAATGCTGTAGTTTGGAGTGGCTGCTGAAAGAATTGTGTTGGTAATTGATAATGCTGAAAATTAGCTGATGCGTGGAATTTTTGTTCGAATTGAAAATTTGGTGTTGGTAAATGTTATGCACCATTTCATGTAGATATAAAATTAAGAAAGCTTTGTCATTTCAATTTTAAGCTTTCTTAATTTTTCAGTTTCATTATGCATGAAAATTAGCAGCTCCTTGGATGGATCATCATCCACAAATGTTTTTAAAAGAGCTATAGCTTCAAAAACATTGTCTTTTGTTGATACTTTTTTCTGTTTGTTTGGACAAACGATTTTTTATAACTATCTTAACCTTCTCTTTTTAATTGTCAAATTTTTTCATTGTTTTTCTGAAAATCAGAAGATTGACACTGGAGCTAACGCTATTGGTATCATTTAAAATGATGATTCTATCGCCATGTCATGTTCGTGTTTTTAGAATCTTTGGATTGGACAAGCTGCAAAAACTGCTTGAACACTATGGCCTTTACTTTATCGAAAATGTTTGATGCAACTGGCAGTTTTGATTATCATCGCAGCATATTTGCATTCTCATATACATTTCTTAAATGTATTACGCCTTTGAGTAACAGCAATGTCCATGTCTTCTTGTCGTTCATTGCACCTTGCCCGAACTCTTTAAAAACTTTCTCGTATATATTACCCTTCTTTTGGCTTTTTGTGTTCGTGAAAACTAATTTTTTCTTGTAATATGATAACAATTAATGCCTAACATAAAGTTTTAATTAGAGCCATAGAAGTAGACCAAAAGCTGTAAAATTGAATTTATACTGACGTTTCGTCCTTACTCAAGACATATTCAGGCAAGTAATAATTTATAATGAGATTTTAAGACAAGATATTGTATTTACAAAAGGTGTTGAATTACGACTAAAGGAGGCGGTGTTAAATGGATTACATGATAAAGAAGTTGGGAAGTAAAATTTAGTGAAGTTAAGAGAGGTTAAGTGGAATGGAACCTCCCTGCACGAAGAGTGAAGGCTTGTATTTATTGATTAGAAGGCTCTCATGAATGGAGAGTTCATAGGAATCGTTAGAAGAGGAAATTATTTTTAAGTCGTAAATTATTTATAACATATTCTGAAAGTTCTCGCTCCGCAAGGCTTTTAAGCCAATTTCTTTTTAATCACATGATTATTATCTTCAGATTCATCATCAGTGGAGCAACTACAGACCTAACGTTTGCCTAAGCTACACTAAGAAACACTGCATGAACTAAAGGTCGTGAAATGATTTTCCATTCAGGTGATTTGATTGGATGTGTGATTGGATTTATTAAAGGGAAGTGTGCAGCCACTTAATTTGCAGCTCTTGACTTTTCAATATACTCTGCCATTCAATGCAAGTTAAAAGAAGGCTTGAAAAACTATAAACTTGATATATTTTATGTTTTTCTAAATTGCCACATTTTTGAAAACTAAAATCCATTTTTATATTTTTCATGTAACTACGTGGGAATGTGTGTAGTTCTTTTTATCTTCATTACAAAACGAAAAGTTGAAGTTTTTTACGTTCACCACATTCGTGAATATTTTAAAACTTTATTGCCATTCCGTATTGAGATTGTTGCACATCCCTTACACTGCCTCAAAAAAATATACAAAAGAGCACAGTATAGCAACAAACAATGCTCCCAATCTGTTGATATTCCTATGTGTAGGGCATATCTTATTAAGCATATGATTACCATGGAGGCGTCAATCAAATTGCATTTTCTGTCAAAGAAAAGTACTCTTAGGTGGCCAGCCTAAACAATTAATGGAATTAAATGTACAACACTAAGTTGCACAGTTAAGTGTACTACTTTTTTGTAGGTTGTGGAAAGCCAAGGTTCTGTGAGTATTTGACTAAAATTTTTATGTGCAAAGTAATTATTTCATATTTTATTTCAGTTTCTAACGCTCTGTTTTATTTCATTTAATGACTTCATCATATATAAACATTGATCCCTCCGTTGTTACCTTTTTTTTCAAAGCTCTTTGGTTGCTCAACCTAAATATCGCTGTCGATTTTTGAAATTTCAGGATCTGCATGTTATTTTCTAATGCATTCCTGCTGAATAATCACACGAAACGTGTTCATTATTGCAGTCGGTTTAAAATGCCTTATAGTCACGCAATAAAATTTTGCTGGCCAAATCTCTCCAAAAGACGTTGATTTTAATAAATATCTGTCGAACTATATGACGTTTGTTTCTTTATAGCCAACAAAATACTTAATATTCGCTCCCTCGGGAAAAGTGAGTTTTGATTTCCCCGGAAAATCGATTTTCTTTTTCTATTATTAAACCTTTAAATAACAAACCATAATACGGACTTATAAAATTCAACTTTTGTATTAAATTAAAACACCGTCTTTAAAAACAAAAACTCTTACCTTACTTAAGAAAACCCTCCAATAGAGTGACATAGTTTATTAATTTTACGCTTACAAGTAAATAAAAAGAATTTCAATATAGCCTTACCCATGTTTTGAGTCAAATGCAATGCTGGAAAATTGTAGTCCTGGTTGAAGCCTCATAACACTTGTAGTTTTATTTTTCAAATAAATTTGATAGATAATGTTCGTGGAGTCAATGTAAAAGATACGACGACCAATCCAGTCAACTGTAATATCATGAACAGAAACATTTTCCGCAAAAATTTCGTTTCTAGTCAAGTCAAGATTTCCCCGTTTGATGTCTTTGTCATCGATGTAGTAAAGCACATTCTCAACTACATCAATTTCTATGTCATTATATCTTGATGCATGGTCAGATTTATTCTTACTGGAACCATTAATAGTGCTGACATGAATATCTCCAGTAATAGAATCAACAGAGTATATTTTATCAAAGCTCATAATAATCAAATATGGCTTTGGATAAACATCTAAATAAATAATAAAAAAACTATAAATATGAAAGTGGATTTGAAAAATGCAAATTTTTATCGACTTTACGATCATAATATTTTGTGAAAGACCAGAATAACTATTTTTAGAAAGAATTATTAACTGTAGAAATATTACTATTAACTGAAATTAGATTGGCTTCACAACTTCTACCTATTTTTGTTGAATATTGTTTTTGGTGCTATGAACAAGAAACTATGAAAATTTGTCAAATCTAAAGATTATACCTTTGTAAAAACACATTTCTGTTTGCATTTGCATCATTTCTTTGTTGTATTGTTTTACTTCCTTGCATGCAGTTGTGTTATCGTCATTGCCATTTTTATCAACGCAAGTTTCCATCCATTCTTTCACGTTGTCTTTTAATGTCTCTAAGCTTTTCTTGCAGATTGATATGTCGTCATTACCATTTACTATTTGGCCACTAATAGACAGGATTATGAGAGTCCCAAGAAACGCTTTTGTTGAGCTTGATATCATCTTTATTTTCTATTTATTAGAAGGTGGACGGTTACTAATTTCTTTAAAGCTTTTGTAGTAAAACATTTACTTTATTTATGAAAGGCTTATCATCAATATAATCATATAATCATTTCTTCTTAAACTTTTTTTGGTATATAAATCAAGTATTGATTTCTATAATTATGTAACATTTTAACTTCCTTCTCCAAAAAGTATGTTCACGTTTGCTTTCAGATAATTTATGATGATTGGATATTGTTGCAATAGATTAGATAAATTGTTTATTACAAAGACTCATGTTTACAATAATTCATATAAGTAGAGTTCATCCGACTAGAACGTGTTTTCAATAAATAGATGTAGGGTTTCTAGCAAACGAAAGCATAGAAACAAATAAAACATTTCAATGTCCACTATAAGGAAATGACGCAATATATGAAATTCACCAAGAGCGGTTTAGAAAAAATTTAAAATGGGTTGATTTCAAATTTGCTCATGTTAACTCAGTTTACCAGATGAATGGGAAAGACGTATTGCTTAACTAAGCCAGCAAAATTAAATGCCAAATAATCTGTTGCGCAGTGTTTAACAGACTAGCAGGCCTCTCTGTAACTACATGTCGTCTAGTTACAAAAATGAAGGCCGTTAAACAATACATGATATTCTGCTTTACAACATCTATCAGTCGTATAGAGAAGTTCGACTCTCATCATTATATAAATTCTGTATTGAATGAAATTTATGAGTATTTTGACAGAACTGCTAAAGTAAAGAAAATCTAAAAAGCTAAAAAAGTTTTAATTCTTGAAATATTTTGTTTCAGACAATTAAAAGGCATTTACTATCTGTCAAAAATATTCTTGCAATATTGAATAATTGTAACAGAAGAAACAAGAGACGAAAAATGTATCATTTATTTTGCATGCATTCCTTGCTTTTTAAAATGACTTCTGTATTGCTGTTTGATGATGATTTGCCCCATTTCAATTTGTTGAATTATGTACCTCTCTTTCTTTATCATTTCCCTCAATCCTAAAGCTTAGTTTTAATGTCCAATCAAATATTCTTTATCACACATGCATTCAAGTTTTAGTTTATTATCATTCTCATGTAAAAACGTAAAACAGTTTGCAAATATTTTATAATTTTTAAATGTCTATGATATTTAAAAAATATTTTTTTGTTATCTCTATTTAGAAAAAAATACTTAATGATGGTTGCTTCAAATATTTTTGATGTAGCTACTATTTTCTCTGGCGTATCATTAGAAAGGGTGTAGATAAAAAGCGGATGCGGACGACGGACTTGGACGGCAGACGCAGATGTAAGACGAACGTCTGTTTGTACGAACGTCTGTTTGTTGTGGGCGGTAATTGCAAATGATTTATCGTAGGAGTTTGACAGTAATTTAAACGAGCTTTATCTTTCAGGATATATTTTTTGACCTCATTATTTAAAGCAATTAAACATGCATATTTCAATTTCAGTCAGTCATATAGAGTGTAACGCAATGAAACCTCATAGTATTTTTTTCGTGTTTTGTCATTGGCATTTCACTTAAAGTATACTTTCAAGATGTAACTGACGCACTGACTAACTTGCAACTGCTTCTAACCTCAGCTTTCAAAAGGAAGTTCATGTTGAAAACTGCAATATACGTACTGCTTGCCAAATGACAAGTTGACGGAAATCATTATAGTGCAGTAAATATGAACAGGCTCACCCACGTAAGGCCAACATGAGTGAAATGCCATTGACAAAACACGAAAAAAATACAATGAGGTTTCATTGCGTTACACTCTATATGACTGACTGAAATTGAAATACGCATGTTTAATTGCTTTAAATAATGAGGTCATAAAATATATCCTGAAAGATAAAGCTTGTTTAAATTACTGTCAAACTCCTACAATAAATCATTTGAAATTCCCGCCCACAACAAACAGACGTTCGTACAAACAGACGTTCGTCTTACATCTGCGTCTGCCGTCCGCGTCCGTCGTCCGCGCCCGCATTTTATCTACACCCCATTGGAAATATGATATAATATATTTCCAGACATTCATAAATATAAATAAGTAGAACTTTATCTTTAGTTGTGATCAATCAATTCGTTTTCGTTTCCATCATAAGGATAGACATAAAATGATAAAAAGATTTGCGAAACGGTAAAAGATTTTTAAATAATTTTAGACTAGTCAAATTACCAAATGGTAGCTATGTATATATGATGATTAGCTGCACTACTCTAAACTACAGAAAATGTTTAAAAAAAACATACAAAAATGTTTCATAATGCTTTAAGTATTTTATAAGATAAAGATTATGTTTGATTATCTGTTGATTTACGTATAAGCATGACTATGATAAATGAAATATATGGTCTTGATGAGGAAGTTAAATCCATTAGAGCCATTATTTTTGCATTATGTGATAGGCTCTGAATTTTAGGTTTTCTTTATGTTTTCTTTGCTTACCATTGAAGAGGCAATTTGGCTATCAATGAAATTTCTCTTTTGAGTTCTGACGAGTTGTTTTCTATTCTTCTCAAACAGCAGCTTAGAAAAAATGTAACTGAAGTAGAAACTGTCTTGTCCTAAAGTGCTAGTAATATTGGCTTTTTGAATTTTGATATCAACACAAGACAAGTACTTTCTGTGGACGGGACACAAACTTTGATGATTTTAATTATATTTTGATAAAAGCCGTAATTGCAGAAATTTAGTGTCAGAAAAAATATGCAACAAAAATATTGTTTCAACAATTCCAAGAAATACCATTTACATTGAAAATAACAGACCAAATTATTTTAATTCCTTATAACAACAACCCCGGGAAAAAATATGTTTATGATGACGTTATTCAAATTGGTCAACTATTTCAAGTGTCTCTACAAACTAAAAGAAATATGTGCACTGCAGATGTTAGTTTCCGCTCATAGATAAGATATAATAAAGCCAAAAAAGGAGTATTGTCTATAAGCAACTTTTGTTCAATTTTTATAGTTCATTATAATATGTTTTACCCTTTTATACTTAACCTAACATGAAACTTTCTAAAGTATATCAAATTCAAACAAGGCTAGTTTCTTAGGTGATTATTATTATACATCCCATTTCACATGATTTTAATTTCTCATGTTTTTAATGAATTTGGTTTATTTCAATGTATTCATTCTCTTTCCTCTCTCAAAAAAGCAGAAAATAAGGACAAAAAATACACATTAATGGTTGCAGACCCCCACCCCCCTAAACATTTTCAGAGCAAAATTTTCGACTTACTTTTTACATGATATACATGATATTCTGTTTACAACATCTGTCAGCCGTATAGAGAAGTTCGACTCTCATAATGATATAAGCTTTGAATTCAATGAAATTTATGAGCATTTCGACAGAATTGCTAAAGTAAAAAAAACTTTAAATAACTAAATAGAGGAATTCAACTTTGAAGTATGAAAAAGTTTTAATTCTTCAAATATTTTGTTTCAGACAATTAAAAGGCATTTGCCATCTGTCAAAAATATTCTTGCAATATTGAATAATTGTAACAGAAGAAACAAGAGACGAAAAATGTATCATTTATTTTGCATGCATTCCTTGCTTTTTAAAATGACTTCTGTATTGATGTTTGATGATGATTTGCCCCATTTCAAATGAGTTTCTTTTGTAGTTTTGTAACTTTTTTGGCAAGTATGTCGTATCTACTGCACATTTCAACTTGCTCTTGTTTTGGCAGCGGTTCTGGTGAATCCTCTCTAACTGGTTCACTATCAACGCTTTCTGTCGTGTTACACTCGTCAGAATTCCCTTCATCATCAGTATGTTTAACAGCGGGTTCAACATCTTTTACACTTCGTGTTACTTCACGCAACACCTGTTGAAGATAATAAGACACATTTACATGCATTTCCAGGTTGTGCATACAAACTTGTGTAATTTAACTTGTATAATTTGTACTTACAACTCTGCGGTCGCGATTGCTCTTATCACCTTGGTTGAAATGCCTTTTACAGAGTCTATGGTTGGAACAGCATCAGAGCGCAATTGTCGTCTCATGTTTAGCGATTTTGCAACTGTTGCGTTCACGGTGAATGCAGAATCTGCGAAATGCATTGAACATAGCACAAAGTACTGCTGAGGAACGAATTTTGGCCTATGTCTCCTAACAAATTTTGTCCATTTACTCAGCCTCTCCTTGTCATTCATGGGAAACGATGTACTGAGACACCCTCTGTGTGTTGACTGTTTGTACAACTTTTCCGTTGGGCCAACCAGCAACACAATATTGTCCTCCTCGACGATTTTTTGCAGAATTTTGTCTACTCGCCATATTTTAACTTGCGGTGTATCGTTACGTTTGACTAACTTAATAAAAAATTATTCTCCTTATATTATGTGCGTTCTGATAATATTGCATGGGTTTTAAAACCACAGACTACGTCAAGGATGCGACACCCATATGATAAGAATGATAAGTCTAATCCAGAAGTTTATAAAAGTAGTATACATTGGATGATTGGAAGTAAGCGCGTTACAGTTAGTTTCTGATAACATTGCGTGTGTGTTAAGACCGCAGACTTCGTCAAGGATGCGGCACCCAGTTTATTGAGAAATATAAGTTAATTCAAGAAGTTTATAAAACTCTAATCGATTGTAAATGTTGCTTACCTATGCGTGTTGCTCATTTGTCACTAAATATACGCAATTTTTGCGAAGAGAAGTTATAAAATATGTAAAATTCCAGTTGGAAATATGCTTGTTCGTATATAATTTTTATATGCTAAGAGCTTTAAAATTGAACTTCCGTCCTTTAAATGACGTCACGCACTCAAAGTCAAATTCGCATCAAAACAAGCAAATATGCCATGTTTGAACCAGTGTTGCCACGCCTTGGGATTTCTCCCAAGATCTTGGGAATTTCTGCTCAAGCTTGGGATCTTGGGAGTTTTTCGAAATATTATAAAATCTTGGGATATTTTGTTTAAATATTTTATAGGTAATATTATCTCGTATTATGAATTTATAAATAAGTGTGACACGTGTTTATAAATAAGCTTGACAATCTTCACACCCTCCCACTGAAGGTGCCGTCTAAATCTGAAGTTTATTTGAACATAATATAAGTTCTTTTACCGTGGATATTCTTTAAGTTAATGTACGTGTATTCCATAAAACGCTGAGCATTTCTTTCGAAAATATTATTAATTGGTATTGCATTTCTTGGTTGTCTTTACTATTGAACAGTAGAAATCAGGAGGGAGTGAATATTTAAAATAATTTTTAAAGTGGAAGTTTGACAACCAAAATCTGCCATCACCGCTATGTTTTTGACAACCGGGTCCAGGCTCCTTGTTCCCTCCAGTTCTTGTTCAACTCAATGTTCAACTCAACTTTTTCCTGTATGGTTTTGTAAAAACAAAAGGGCGGCCTTTTTCTGAGGATTCAAGTCTGAGGTAAACTTGACTTGTTTTGCTTCATTTGGGTGGGGAGCTCAAAGCACTACAGTGCATACACATTTCAGAAGCAAAATGCATGACGAAAAAAGCAACTCAAGTGATAAGAATGATCATCGTCCAGCGAGAAAAAAAAGCAAAACCTGAAGATAAAAAATGGTACAAGCAATCGTTCAACTATGCTTGGTTAAAAGATCAAGAATTAGCAGATTGGATTTCAAAAGATCCTGGAATTCACAGTGAGATGCAAAGTGTGTGAACATACATTCAACGGTCCCAACAAGTCGGCTTTGATGAAACATAAAGCAACAAAGAAACGTACTGATGCATATAAAGCCAAGCAAAATACTTTGCAAGTGAGCAAGTTTTTTCAAAAGCAAACAGGGCCAGATGTTGATGAAATGACAGCAAAAGCTGAAGTTTTGTTATCTGGTTTTCTAGCTGAGCACCGAACGCCTTTTCTTCAGGCTGATCATCTCAGCGAGTTAATGAAAAAAATGTTTCCTGGCAGCAAAATTGCTCAAAAAATGCAGTTAAAAAGAACAAAGGCATCATATGTTGTTCAAGAAGGAATTGCACGAGAGGAAGTGGAGTCAATATCGGCAATCTGTCAGAAAAACGAGTTTTCTCTGATCGTAGACGAATCCACAGATATTTCAGTCTCCCAAATTCTTGCTGTTGTCGTCAGATTTTGCCATGAAAGGAAAGTGATTGATGCTTTATTGACTGCCCTTGAAGTAGAAAACGGCACTGCTGATGGATTGTATGCGGCTGTTAAAAACTTTTTTCAAGAACGAGCCATACCACTAAGTAATGTTGTTGGTTTTGCTGGCGACAATTGTTCAACAATGATGGGCAAAAATGGAGGTTTTCAGGCTCTTTTAAAAAAAGATGTACCTGGTGTATTTGTCTTTGGTTGCATTTGTCACTCTTTTGCTCACTGCGCACACTATGCAAGTTGTCGCCTACCTTCATGGTTGGAAGCATTTGTGAAAGATGTCTGCTGTTATTTTCCCCGTAGCAGTCAGCGACAACACCAGTTCCGCCTCATACAAGATATTGTTGAAGCGCCTCGTCATAAAGTTCTCAAGCTTTCACAGACGAGGTGGCTCTCCCGAGGCCAATTTGTTGCCAGAATTTTAGAGCAATGGGATGCATTAAAACTTTTCTTTCAATCTGAGTCTACATGTGATCGTGTAGACGGGCAGTCAAGATCTATGAAACCATGACGACGAATGGAACCAAGCATATTATGGCATTCCTAAATTACATATTGTCAAAAGTGGACAGATTAACTGCTGAATTTCAGGCTCAAGATTTCAAGCTGCACACACTGTACAGTTCTATATCGGATGAGTATAGAAGCATTTTGGCCATGTTTATACACGATAAAGTCGTATGAGAAACACCGTTGGACGAGATTGATCCAAATGACGTAAAGCTATACAAGCCTCTCAACGATATTCATCTTGGAGGAAGATGTACAGTCCTGTGCACCCAACAGTCTTTGGGTAGCCAAGAACAACGTTTCAGAAACGATTGCCGTAACTTTCTCGTTGAGTTATGTGACCAAATAAAGAAGAGGTTTTCTTTCAAAAGTGATGGAGTTCTAGCTTTGCTATCAGCAGTCAACCCTTCAGAGGCATTATCCAGCAGGCGGTCATTAAACTCGATAGCGGTATTAGCACACCATTTTCCGTCTTTAGTGTCTGAAGATCAATTGGATGAACTTGATGATCAGTGGAGGCAATTGTTATATGCCACGGACTCTCTTAAAGGCATGACTAATTCCCCAACACAGTTTTGGGATGAGATCAGAGCTATTAAAGATGGTAACGGCAATAAAAAGTTTGAACTTTTGGGAAATTTTATCTGCAATCTGCTTGTTTTGCCTCACTCATCTGCCTGTGTCGAGAGAATTTTTTCCCAAGTTAACATGATAAAGACTCCTCAAACCAACCGCCTACATTGTTCAACTTTGAGGAACAGATTAATTGCAAGACAAGCTATTGCTCAACAAGGTGCGCATTGCACCACGTGGGAGCCGTCTACGAAACTTGTAAAAGACGTACAATTTGGTCATTGTCAGAGGGAAACATTGTCAGCGTCAGGAACAGGAAGAAAATGGGACTGATGTTTATGACATTGTAAACGAAGAGACTGTTGAGATAGGGTCTGGTTAGCACTTAGCATGTTGTCGATTTGGCTGTTTCAACGATGTTACCATCACCATGTTCGACTTTTTTATGTACTGTTGCGTTTCACGAACTATATTTGATCATTTCAACACTTATATACACAACTATCGATTTTTTTGAAATTAAAATTAAAACAAAAATCAATTCATTCAAGTCTTTACATTATGCGTTCATTAGCGCGGCTAATCGTGTACCCATGACAAAGGGGTCCCCCAGAAACGACTGTGGGTTATCTTGGGATATTTAAAGGATCTTGGGACTTTTTCCTCAAAATCTTGGGAATTTGTAAAATAGTGAGTGGCAACACTGGTTTGAACGCAAAGTTCGATGCGTTCCCATCGACTAAATTCACTGGGCGATAGCTCAAAATGATTGTAAAATACAGAGAAAACGTTTGTATCGAAAAACGAAATATGAAAATTTCACTTCAGTAGCACTTTCAACGACCGTGGAATCAGTGATTGTTGTCATTTCCTGAGTAAATCGACACATTTCTCAAGCCATCACTAAAATGACTGCGTTGTTGCTTGGCTGGTTTCGACCATGCTTCGCTACAAAGCTCTGCGTAGTTTGAAAAATTATTTTCTTTCTGGAAAAATGGTTGACGCTAAGATCAAAGATTTCGGCTATAATTTATGTCGAAAATATCTCGGTGGGAAATGGAAGAAAATCAGTCCACAACATTTTGAAATTGAACGAATTCAGTAAGTACAATTTTCAAATACGCAACTGTAAGGACTATATTGTTTAGATGGGGTGACATTTATTTGATGGTAAAATGTTCTCAATGATATTCAAGGTGAAAATATTCTCTATATGTCTATTGCCAACATTTTAAAGAGTACTGGGCTGTTTGTACTTGCTGCCACACTAAATTTCTTCTCAAGATTTATATGTTTCGATGCAATATGAAAGATTTTCTGCAGTTTAGCAAGGTTGCAGATTGCAAAATGTGATGGATTTCAAAAAGATATCTTGGGTGTGTAAAAGGCCACATCTGAAGTCCAGTTTCATCTTAATATGCAGAAATTTCTCCAGCAATTATGCCAGCCAAATAAATACTGAATTCTGCAATTGCAGAATTCTCTGGTATCTGTCCATGAAAGTGGTAAAATTTCTCAAGTGCAGCTAATTTTTTTGTAATTTCCCACTTCCATTTCTCATATTTTTTATGTCTGATATTTTCTTGTTCAAAGTTGTTTTAGTTTTGTTCAGGGGTGTAGGCAGAATACATACGTGAAGTAAAATAAGCATCCTTCTTTTATATGCAAAATAATCTTCATAATAGTACCTTTGATTTAGAAATTAATTTCCATAAGAAAAAATCTTGTAAGATATGATTAATCTAAGAATGGGCTTATTTTGTATATTTATTTAACCAATGCTCTAATCTTGCCTCTATGCTTGTCTATCTTTGCTCTTTTGTTGATAAACTCACCATTCAGAGGAGATGAAATCATAGTTTGAGTGATTGTTTTAACCAATACGCCTTTACCAATTACAGTGGTGGATTAACAAATCATTTGTTTATGTGCTCTCTGCCACATGAAAATGCAAATTCAAATCCTGATGGTGTGAACAAAGCACTGCTTCGGCTATATGGTGCATTCTATGCAGATTTGTCTGACAACAATGTTCGCATGATGGAGGAATGCATCATTTGTGGACTTTTAGCTGAAAAAAAGATGGCCCCAGAGTTGTATGGTATATTTCCTGAAGGAAGACTTGAACAGTTTATTCCTAATGTAAGTAGTAAAGAAAATCGGTGATTAATGTAAGGAAAGTTTATCTTTTTATAGTGAGTATATTACCTGCTTGTATGGAAAGAACGTGCCCTAGCTTTCCAGCTTTAATATCAATTTAAATCTGTTCTAGCACAGCTGAGTTTGTATTCCACTGATAGTGATATAATCAGTATTGATATTTCATACTCATTATACAGTCTGTATAGAAAAATTGTAAATTCATTCTCATTTGTGTTGGAAAGAATTTATAATTTTTGAATTAAACTGTTAAATAGTTAAAATTTTTGCAACATTAATTTCTGCATTGTTTACCAAAGTTTAATTTACTTGTGTTGTAATTTGTTAAACGTTCGAGCATTGACTAGTCAGGAAGTCCAGTATCCTCGTTTATCACAACAAATAGCTGAGCATGTTGCTGCGTTTCATAAGCTAAAACTTCCTCTCTCAAAGGAAGGAACTTGGTTTTTGGATTCACTTCAAATGTGAGTTTGACTTTTTGAATCTTTTGCACCAATCTGAATTAGTTTTGAAGTAAACCCACTTTCTGTTACAACTTTTTTAAAATATATTCAAGACTTCATATTGTTTGAAATGACCTCACCATCTCCTTATATTATTATTTTATCACAGTGTACAGTATATAATACGTTGATTGTACATAAACTATATTTTTTTTTGATAGATTTGTGAAGGAAATTAAAGGTCTTAAATTTTCCAATGTTGATAAATTAAAGATCTTGGATGAAATTTTTCATAAATTTGACATTGATGAAATTCTCAAATATATCAGTTATTGAAAATAGTCAGCTACTCAAAAACAGAACGGTCATGGGGACTAGGGAGACAGGTCACGTGTGGGGGGGGAGGAGCTTGTTGGGAAACTAGTGTGTCTACAGGTGAGGTATTTACATGATTTTGTGATTATAATTGAGATCATATCTTGTGACTGACTGAGCGTACGTACGATGTAGGATTAGCTAGTAAAGTAGATGATACTAACGGTTTTCCCTGTTTAAAGTTGTCTTAGTTTTTGATTTTCTGGTATTTTGAAAATAAATTTATAATTGGCGCTGATTGGTTGAATGCTCCCAAACCCCGTTTTTCAGAAACTCTTTTTCAGTCTCGCAAAACTATCGCAGATTGCGTGGTTTGCGTGGACACGGAAAATTTAAACAATATGTCGTTAAATTTGTCTTTTTAATGTTGGTTTTAATTTATGAATGAAATACATACTTGTGAAAGTTTTGGAGCAACTCGAAATTCATTGAAAGTACTCAATTCGTGCTCGTGCTTGGCACGCAATTTATTTTTTCCTCCAAACTTTAGAAACACAGAAAACTTTTTTATTGCTTACGTGATAAATGAATGCTTATTTTTATACATATGCATTAGGTTGTCCTTGTCTGTTTAAGCTACTACTACTGCTAGTCAGTAGTCTGACAGTGATGTTAAAAAATGTATGCTTCATGGCAAATGAAGATCAAATATCGACGTCATGATAAAATAATAATGTTTCTTATTTTTCTGCGGTTTTTTTATTATGCTCCCTTTGGACTACGTAGCCTTAAGAATTTTTACAAAGAAGAACATTATATGGAAGCAATTGTATGACGTACTTACTTATTTGGACACACAGTCAATCAACCACAGTACTAAATGAATAAAAACAATAGATTTTTGAGTACTTTTAAATTCACATAATCACAAATCATTAATTTATTGAATTATATAATATGAGACATTAACTGCTGAAATGCTATGCACAAACCATATACAAAGTTAATTAAACTGAAAATACTTATGTGCCAAAAAGATGTTTTAGGATCAATGAATTTAAGTGTTGCTTACATTATTGTTATTTTGTTGTTGATGTGTTAGGCACGTGGTTGAAAACAGCCAATCACCAGTTTTCTTCTGCCATAATGACGTACAACCAAGTAATGATTTCCAACTATTTTATTTTGAATATTATGGGTTTTTAATAAAGGTTAAATATAATTTAAATACCTACAGGAAACTTGTTGGTGAAGGCAAATGAAGATCTCGATGAGGCGAAAATTCGTGTGATTGATTTCGAATATTCTTGTTATAACTACAGGTGAAAAAAAAGAGAGAAGGATAATTTTCGTTTAAACCGCAAATGAAGAAGGAAGAAAGGAGACATTTGTTCTATATCTAGAAGATTATTTGATCTTTGCGCTGCGTAGAGTTGTCAAATATTATGATAGCAAGGGTTTTGTTTGTTCACTTAAGCCCGCCGCACACTGGTAAACTTGCCGCGCGTACTTGTTATTCTTGACAAGTGTGATCGACAAAATTAAACAAACGCGCGTTTGATATTTGACTCATCTGTCACGAATGACAAATGTTGTTCAAAACTTCCGCGCACACTAGGAAATTTTGTCGATCACACTTGTCACGAATAACGAGTACGCGCGGCAAGTCACCAGTGTGCGGCGGGCTTTAAAGCAGTCATCAATTGAGCAAGGGGAGAGCTGGCAACAAAACAACCATATTGCACCCATAATGCTTTTCAACCGGCTGCTTATCTTTCTTCTTGAACATTTTAAATTATTTATTTCATCAAAACTGTTCAATTTTTCTTATTTTAAACATCGTTTACCTTGTCAAACTTTTTTATAATATTTGTTATTTTTTGATTCAGAGGATACGATATTGGTAATCATTTCAGTGAATGGATATTTGATTATAATCATCCACATTATCCCTTTTTTACCGGAGACGTCACCAAATATCCTTCTTATGATCAACAGGTAATTCACTAAAATATGTAATAATTTCAGAAAAGATAAAAACAATTTTATGGTTAAAAATAACCCCCGAACTATAGTTCATATGAAAAGGATGATCTGCTGTTTACAATGTGGCTATCTATTATTGCTTCATTTGAGTTACAACATTTATAGCTACCATGTGTTAATGATGTGATGATTGTGCTTTTCCTTGCGGTATAACTATCTATTCTCAATACTTTATTTCTGTTTTTCTCGTGTTTTTTTTTTTGCTTTTGATTGCTTTGCTTATTTTGCTTTCTCCTCTCGGTGTTTTGCCGTAGAGGTATTTCCCTCGGTGTTTTGCCGTAGAAGTTTTTTGTCGTCGGTGTTTTGCCGTAGAGGTATTTCCCTCGGTGTTTTGCCGTAGAGGTTTTCCCCCGGTGTTTTGCCGTAGAGGTTTTTGTCGTCGGTGTTTTGCCGTAGAGGTATTTCCCTCGGTGCTATGCCGTAGAGGTTTCCCCCCGGTATTTTGCCGTAGAGGTTTTCCCTCGGTGTTTTGCCGTAGAGGTATTTCCATTGAGTTCTATGAGACCTGGAGGGAACACGTTTGCAAAATTACTATAAATTATTAGCGCGCGGCCCGTGGTCAAAAACATGGCGGATTTTGGTTGTCAAAGTCAGCGGAAAGGCGCGGGCTCATGAAATAAAAATTTTGTGAAAAATTCTTATTCTAAACTCTTCGAAATTGCAGGTATTTTTCGTCCGTGCGTATTTACAAGCTTACAATGAAATGACTGAAGTCACGTTAGACGAGATTGAAAAAGTTATCGAAGAAGCTGATAGGTATATATTTTAACAATCGTCCTCTTATATTAATATAGCGCGAGATAAATTTTGGAAATTCTTAGATTTCTATGAGAACGTATGTCTTGACAGATTTATTTTCACTGTCTTAGTTCTCGTTTATTTAAGGTTCAGTTTTTGGAATACGTCAGTTTAGGGTTTAATGACGCCATTTAATTTAGGTCGGTTTTATGTATACCTTCATAGGCTTTTATTACACAGCCTATTCAAGTAACTTTTTACATATTGCACGCATGTGCTTACATATTGGCGTCGGTTTTGTTTTTCTGCGAATAAATGTTTTAATTTTACGTATGTTTTAAAAATATTTATGAAATAACATCAGCTTTGTTTTCCTTTTTTTCTATAGATTGTCTCTTCTTTCTCATTTCTTTTGGGCGATGTTTTCAATTCTTCAGAGTTATAAATCCTCGATCAATTTTGGTTATCTCGTATGTAGATGAACAGTTAAGTAGTGTTGTTTACCGTTAGATTTACACCACGTGACTGAATTTGCCTTTTTCGTTGTTGTATTGTCGTACCGTGGTATTGTATCCTAAACACCATTTGCTATTTTTAAAATACCATATCTTATAAGGAACATTCTACATCGAACAATGTTAGAAATGTGCACCACCACTTCATCAACTTTTGCATGTAGAGTGCGTTATTTCTTTACAAACATTTGTGTAAATGCATGGTCTTTTGCACTAAGTTCTTTCCATGTGGATTTGTTTAGAACAGATGTTAATCAGCAATAATATGTTATGCGTGTGTACATGATAAGCGCTTTCATTGTGAACAAACGTAAAAGGAGCGTAACACTTTGCGAGGATTTCTTATAAGTTTACAAGAAGGATTTTGTGTTTAAATTTTATAGAATCAAATCACTATGAAGTAAATCCCATCCTCAGTAGTAACCATGCAAAGGATCTTGAGTGTGTTTTATTAATCTGTCATATAAGGTATTAAGAAGCGCCAGAAAATATATGGAGAAATACTTACGTGCAAACCTCCACCTATATAGGAAATGTTACGCAAATACTACATTAACTGCATGATGACAAATTTCAGTACCTTTCATAAAACCAAATTGTTTATGACGATTTTTAAAATTATTTGTTGGGCTCTAATATTTATATTGAGAATCCGCTTCCCGCCTTGCACTTCATTGGCAACAATACCTTTAACAAAAATATATGTATGCTAATACTTCAAACTAGAAATAGGTTAAGGTCAAAGATTTGGATACGACATTTTAGTGCGCACAATTCTGAGAGTACTGCAGTAGCCTGCACTTCCATGTAAAAAGTAGGTAGAAATAGTAACTCACTTTAACTTTTTCGAATGTAGTCCCTGCCTCATCAGCTGCCTTTTGTATTGTTTCTTGTTTCTCCTTTGCCGTTGTATTCATTCCCTGATCGTAATAAGACTTCAAGATAGCTTTTTGCAAGTCAATAATACTTCATACTGTATTCCAGTTGCCGCCATCTAGATATGGTACAGTGTGTCGTGTGCATGTCGTGTGTTGATGATATATAAATTGGTGCATATATAAATTAAATATGGCGTCAACAAGAACGCTTTGAGGATCTCCTACAACACATACATGCGACGTTCTCCATTCAAGAACTCTTGCTTCAGACGATTAAGAACATGCGACATGGGTAATGATTTGAATTTTTTTCAAAATCGGCTTTTCATGACAAACTGTTATTTGTAAATAGACGTCTTACCTACTGATATGTAGATTTATTTGCAGGTAGTTGACCAATCAAAAGTGACATTGTTTACATAGTGAATAATGATGTAAGATAATTGCATGAAATGCATGATACATCAAGATTGCGTGAAACGTGGCGAAAAGATAGAATTAGCTGCTTCGTAACGATTGTTTTGCACCGGTTTCCATTAAAAAAATGCAAGTGCGTAAAAGGTGTTTCCGGTCGTTTCTGTCGCAAGGATAGAACTCTAGTCTATCTCAAACGATCGATACGTAAGGATCGTTTCTAACGTAAGGATCGCTTTTGTCGTTTCAGTTGAGCGTCTCCATATGATCGTTTCTGTCGCTTCTACAAATTGCAAGCGACAAAGACGATCCTTACGACAGGAACGATCATATGGAAACCGGGCTTTAAAGAGCAACATCTCATTAAAAAAATGAGTGAATTGACGTAACATTAGAATCATATAATTACCTAAATCAGCTCTAATTTTTAGGGAAAATATTAGAAAAGTATTGTTTCACCAACACATTTTTAACAATTTCATCAAGGTTGTTTTAAAAGACATAAAAGCTAAAACGCTATAATTAAATGTTGAAAGTTTCATTAGAAATAATGATCAAATTTATAACATCACAGTTTTCGGAAGTTTTTTATGGTGTTATCTTCATCTCAGTAAACTTTAATGATTCAGTGTCCATTTTCCAATAATACCAAACCACACGACTCAAACTGCCGTATACTGTACTATCGTACTGTCCATTCAGGTTGGAATAATGACAAAACCTATACCACCAAGCACCTCTCAGGTCAATGGCACAGTTTCCACTCTGTTCATCATTATCTGAATCCTTGGTTGAAAACGCCATTCCTTTATGATAAGATAATGAATCTCCAGCAGTTCCTAAGAAAAGTAATAGCTTTCAAAAATCGCATTAAATGCAGTTATAGTATTCTTTTGAACTTCCATTAACACAAGTTTAATGTATATATCTTCACCAATTTCCATAGTTTCATTCCCATTCAATACAAACGCTCTTTGATCTCCTCTTTACTTCACAGAATTTTCAACCTCTGCTCCAGCTATGAACAGTTTCATACCGAAATAGAAGTCGTTAGAAAATTTTTCACCTTAAACAACTTCCCTTCATACATATTTGACAATCATGTTCACCGCTTCCTCAACAATACATTTGAACCCAAAGATCTTATTCACACTGCTCCTAAGAAAATCATGTACTTCTGTCTCCCTTTCACTGGCCTACACTGTCTTCAGATTCGCACTCAAATCACTCGACTCTGCAATGCTGCCTTTTTTCATATCAACGTTCGCTTTGTTTTTCGTTCTTCCAGGCGTCTCTCCTCTTTCTTTCCTTTTAAGGATAGGGTTCCCAAGCTCCTGAGATCTGGTGTTGTATACTCATTTAAGTGTCGATGCTGCTCTGCATCGTATGTGGAGTCAAACCACGCGTCATTTACACCAGAATATCAGAACACTTGGGAATCTCTCCCTTAACAGGGAAGCGTTCCTTATGTCCACCACCATCTGCAGTTCTTTCTCATATAAGAAATACACCTCACCCTGCCGATTTTAATGATTTCTCAATTCTCTCTTCCTCCTTCGACAATTATGACCTTATGATTCATGAAAGCCTTCTTATATCCAAACTTAAACCCTCTCTTAACACCCAAGGCAACTCAATCCTCCTTCACCTTCTTTAATATACCGCCATTCTCACTTAATTCCGTCATCTAAACTTCCTACTCCTCTCACATGTAATTTAACACCCCATATTATATGCTTGTATTTAAAACCTCGTGTATATATATTAACTCATTAATCTGAAGATGTCTTAAGTTAAAGACGAAACGTAATTAATAAATCCTTCTCTATTTTATTATTGTGATGGTTTTTTAAAAAGTATTATGTTGGGCTATTATGTTCATATTGAAAAATAGGAATTTGTTTTTTCACAACAGCATTCATCAAAGCAAAAACTACAAAACCATTCCAACACATATAATTTGTTATCCCGAATTATTCTTAAATTTAGTGTTTCCTAGGCAAAAGCATATCACACAAGGCCAAAATATTACCATTAAGGCATTTTGTGATTATCTAAAAGCGCATTTAGTCGAAGAAATAATGCGCAGCTTCTGAACATAGGCAATACAACATTATTAACGTAACATTAGAATCATATAATTACCTAAATCAGCTCTAATTTTTAGGGAAAACATTAAAAAAATTATTATTTCACCACAGCATTTTTAACAATTTTTTCAACGCTTTTTTAAATGATAATGATTATAAAGGTTCTTTGAAAGACATAAAAGCTAAAATGTTTTTATTATATGATGAAAGTTTCATTAGAAATAATGATTAAATTTATAACATCACAGCCTTTGGAAATTCTTTATGGTTTTATTTTCATCTCAGTGAACTTTAAGGATTTATGACCTTTCAATGACTCCAAATCACCTTTGTCACTACTTTGGTTGCCACTAGTAGTCGCCATTCAGGTTAGAATAATAACAACTTTTATACCACCAAGCACCTTTGAAGCGTGTGGCACAGTTTAATTCACGAGTCTTATCATTATCTGAATCTTTTGTTGAAAACGCCATGCCTTTATGATAAGATAATGAATCTCCAGCAGTTCCTAAGAAAAGTAATACCTTTCAAAAATTGCATTTAATACAGTCATAGAATTCTTTTGAACTTGCATTAACACAAGACAAGTTTAATGTATATATCATTTAGGTATTGACACTTGCATTCACAATTGATTACCAGGGTCTTACATGTAAAAAGGACTTCAGTCAATCTTCATTTGACAATGGTATTCACAGTAAATATTCTTTCTTATGTACCAAAAAATTTAGTCGTGTTTTATTAGCTACATGATGTTCAGGCGCGAGCTTATCATTGGCCGTTTTTATACTAGACACGCATAATGCGTCTGAACGAGCTTGGGCAAGAAGTTTTCTTCGTCTGGTTATGCGTCTTCAGTGTAAAGACGGGCTCAAACGCATTATAGGTCTAGATGAATAGTCAATGGTTATTCGTTTTTGTAGACGAGGAATCGAACATATCCAAATCGTTTTAATTTAATGCTAATATAATTTTTTTCCTATTTACCCTTTGAACTTTGTGCTTTGATTGTTTTTATTTGCCTATTGACTTACCAGAATATTTACCAAGGCTTAATTGATATTTTTTGTTTTCATTCTTTACTGCAAAATAATCATATTCAGCATATCTTTTGTTTCCTGACCAATCTCCCAGGTCTACACGAAGTTTATTTCTCCTTGAAGATGTTAGTCGGTATACTTTATCCAATCCAAGCCAGAATTCGCCTTTCAGATCACCAAAACCTTGTTTATAGTCTTTCCAACCTCGAGAGAAATTTACACTTCCATCTTGACGTCGTTGAAACACAGTCCAACCTCCACCAGATGACTTCATATCACAGAAAACCTTAAAATAATCCTGACCATCAGGATTAATTTGATAAACTCCGTTCTTTTTTTCACCTTTTTTGTAAAGATCTGCACAATTTTTCCCTGGTAATGTAAACAAAGAGATCTGCCATGAAATAATATGTTGTTAAATGTCACTCTTGATATCTTAAAATCATTCTTACCGTTTAGTGATTTTCCTGTGAGTTTTGTATTTTCTTTGTAAAGAGTTTTCAGTTGTTTTTCAAGTTTTTTTAGCTTTGTTT